CTCTTTAAAACATGATACTCCAGTCAAAGTTTTATGTTAATAAAACCACTATTAGGAACCGGTCTTATTGAATCTATGCAAAGAAATGTATTGCCATGACTTATTTAGCGTTGCCAAATTTCGGAGGAATTACACAAGAAGAAAAATATACTGATCTACTCTAAGATTTTCTGACTTTTTTTGCCAATTCCTTTTAATAAAACAGTAATTGTTGGCATTAAATTTTCTTTCTATGCATAACCATGCCTCAGACCCTCTATTCTAAACAGGCCTTTTCCAGCTTACTACCCCTGACATGGGCATGGTCACAAAGGCCTGCAAGACAGTATTACAGGCTGCCAACTGTTAGCTGTCTCTCAAAACCTGATGGGCACTGTTCCTGCCCATTTGGGCACCTGTCCTCTTGGCAGCTAGCCATTCTTTACTTTTGGGGGTTACCCCACATAGTTCCCTTCCAGGACAGCCAGCACACATTCAAACCTGCAAGAGAATTAAAGGTCAATATAACATATCAATACAATGAAACATGATATTGGCATCATGGCCGCTTCAGGCAGCCAAATCCTACTAAAGTCTATTCTTGGCCTTCCTATAAATTGTCCTTGTCTCTTTGGAGCCATGTTCATGAAGATGCAGGCATCATCTAAGTCGCGAGCAATGTTACCAGCATTAGGCAGGTAGCAGGTTGCGTTGATCTCGATCGACACTCCATTTGGTGACGAAGTCTTTCCGGATCATGGATGGGTCCGCTGACCGGACGTGGGTGTGATGGACCCAGGTCGCACGTGCAGGGCTGCCAGGGCCTCGTCTATGGCAGACAGGTAGTAAGGCAGCAGGTCCAGGAGACAGGTGGCCAGAAACACACCCCCGGCAAAGCAGCTTACCAGGCTCAGGACTTTCTGGTGGAAGGCTGAGGCTTCGGGGCTGGCTCCCGGTCGGCGTAGCACACAGATGGGCACCAGACTGCAGATGAGCATGAGCACCAGCAGGAGCACCAGGGCCTCCAACTTCACCTCCAGGCCCACAGGCAGTGGGGGAACCGAGGCTACTGCCTCTGGGCGCCACACAAGGAGCTCTGGTTCTCCCCAGGGCCCCATGGTGGCCGGCTGCTCCAGTGACTCTCAGACCTCGCGAGGGTCTCACTCCATGGCCCCCACCAGGTTCCATGGTTTGTTTCTACCAGTTCCCTTTGTGGCAGAGCAGCAACCAGGCCTCTTTCAAGGGAGTGCACTAGGAGGGGGTATCAGCCCCTCCTTTGCTAGCAGCCACAGGTACCAAACCCTTTCAGTACATTAGACCAGCTTCATTCCTGCCTATCTTTACAGATTCCAAGGCCCATTGTCTTCCTTAATCAGTACTGGCATGTATTATCTAATTCAGCACAGGCAGGGGGAAGGGCCCATTAAATCTTTGCCTTGAGGAACTGTGAGCTCCATCCTTAAATGTCCCAATCAGACTAGAAAAGCCACAAATACCTTTTAAGTTTATACCCAAAGGCCTGGCCTGGCTGGCGCCAGTGCTGCCAACCCCCTCTGGGAGTAGAGTATGGTTCATGGTTTATGGCCTCTGTGAAATGGGTGTATTCCAGGAAACCGGTTCTGCAAGGCTGGACAAGCTTCACAGATAAGAACGGGGCTTAATTATACTAGCAAGACTGTGCGTCAGAATATTGGTTACTGGCACAGATCCAGATTGCTAGCCTTCGCAATTGTCTTATATTCCCCCTCACAATGATATGCTAGGGGAGGACAGACTGCCCTGGGGGTGAGATTCTTGTTTTCCCAGTTTTGCCCCTTGCTAGGCATCTGGGGCTTTCTGCCCTGGTGAGTTTCTGTACCTGGCCCATTGTCCTTGCTTTGCTCAAGTGTGTCTAAAATGAATCTCATGTTTGTGTTGTGACATAGTACTATTTGTAGTGACCATTCATTAATAATTGTATAGACTCTAAACATGAATACTTCCCAATAATACCATCCTCAAAAGATAGTTAATCTCTACTCTGACCATTTGTTGCACATTCTTTTCTGTACCAATGCTATGGAAATAGTTGTTATACTATATTGTTTAGGGAATAATGACCAAAAAAAAAGTCTGTATATGTTCAGTACAGACATAATCATCATAGGCCTATCTATACATGTACACATCAGTAACAGAGTAATTTCCCCCCACAGTTGGTTTTGAGTCCATGGATGTGGAATCTGCCATTATGGAGGGTCAACTATACTGTCTACAGCTAAGAAATCTCATGCCAGTATGCAGCAATATTGTGCGTGTGGGAGTTGGGGGGGACATTGGATTGGAAGCTGGGAGGTGAGAATTGTGATAAAGTTTGTGACTGACTTGCTGTGTGACTTGGGCAAACTCATGTTACCTAAGACTTACTTTCTTCAACTATAAAATGAGGTTTTTGAAACTAAAATCACTAAGGATTCTTCCAGGCCATTGGGGTTCTTACATTATACTTTGTTTTTTGATAATCTCCCTGACTAAATGCACTTAAAAAAATACATTATATCAGTTAATTATTGCAATAGTTGTGTGAATGAATGTCATCCTGGATATTACGTTCTCTAGGAAGTCTTCTTGGGCTAACAGGTATCCAGGTTGGTTTATGTGTGGTCTCTGTGCCTCTATAACAAGCACTGTGGATTGATCTGTAAAACAATCTATATATATAAACCCCTAATATGCAAATAGACCAAATGGCCGAACAACTGAACAACCGTGCGCTGACTACCAGGGGGCACATGCGGAACATGGTGGGTGGTGGCAGCAGGTGGCAGAGTGCAGAACATGGTGGGCATCGGCCATGGCGGGATGGTGGAGCAGGTGAGCAGGGGCACCAGGCCAAGGCGGGGTACTGGTTGCTGTCATCGGGGCAAGCCTCTGGTGGTTACTGAAAATTCTTTGCTCCAGCATGCCACGGTCCTGCCGGGTGCTCACACTGCTGCCGGCGCTGGCCCCACTCACACCTGCTGCCGACACCCAGCGCCGGCCCCAATCGCTTGGCGCTGTCAGTGGGTGCAAGCAGCGGCTGCCGGCCCCGATCGTCACTCAAGGCTTCGCCACCTCCCCCTGCTTCTGAGGGGCGATTGGGGCTGGCAGCCGCCTCTCACACGGGCCCGATCGCTTGGCGCCGTCAGTGGGTGCGAGCGGTGACTGCTGGCCCCGATCATCTCTCAGGGGTTCTCCACCTCCTCTTGCTCCTGAGGGGCGATCAGGGCAGCAGCCACCATTCGCACCCGCTGATGGCACTGGCCCCGCTTGCAGCTGCTGCTGCACTGGCCCCAATCACTCCGCGCTGTCAGCAGGTATGAGCGGGGCTGGCGCCGTCAGCGCATGGGAGTGGTGGCGGTGCGGCGGGAGCAGGGCTGCTGGCAGAGGGACCGGGAGCCATGGCAGGAGGGGCTAGGCAGGGGTGGGGAGGATGGGCCAAGACCCGCCCCTGTGCCCACCGCAGCCTTGCGGCCCACAATTCCTTTCAAGGTGCACGAATCCGTGCACTGGGCCCCTAGTGTTATATGATAGCTATCTTTCTTAATATTTCTTCTTCTCCACTAATCTATATGTCCCCTGAGGGATTTATAGATGATATAAGTTCCAATACTTAAACAGTACCTAGCATAGGTATTTAATGAAATGAATAAATGGAGTTCTAGTACTAGAAAACTTTTGCAGTAAAATTGAGGTAGGATAGTAAGAAGCTAGGAAAATTCCTTGGCAAGTGAAATGGGGAGACAGATAATGGATCCAAACTGGCCTCATCCAGCACCCTGACTCACCTGCCTCCTTCTCCTTTGCATGACCACTCCCTTAAGCATTAAGCACTCAGGACAATGAGGTTCTGATTAGCATTAAAAAATCTTAGGGCCCTGACTGGTTTGGCTCAGTGGATAGAGGGTCGGCCTGCGGACTGAAGGGTCCCGGGTTCGATTCCAGTCAAGGGCATGTACCTTGGTTGCGGGCACATCCCCAGTGAGGAGTGTGCAGGAGGCAGCTGGTAGATGTTTCTCTCTCATCGATGTTTCTAACTCTCTATCCCTCTCCCTTCCTCTCTATAAAAAAATCAATAATATATATATATATATATTTTTAAAAATCTTAGGAACAAATCTCCAGTCTGTTGACCACAGGGCCAGAGTTTTGATCAAACTAGAGATAACATCTAGGCCTTGGTTGTGTTTCAGCTCTAGGCCCAGAAAAGCAGCAAAACCACATGAAGTGACGTCATGGCTGGTGTCAGGACCAGATGCATGACCCTACCCTAAGTGCCGACCAATCAATAGAGACCACAACCCTGACCCTAAAGCTATGAATCTTCATATTAAAGGACACACCTGCAAAACTGATGAAGATTTTATTGAGGTCCTCCTCCGAAATTCCTGCCTTTGGAAAATAGCTAAAACCCCTTAAGATAAAGGACCCTGTGTAGGTTCGTTCTCTCTCTCTCTCTCTCTCTCTCTCTCTCTCTCTCTCTCTCTCATGCCCATGCCTTCTTCCTTCAGGCATGTATCTTTGCTTTCTTTCTCCTAAGCTCTAAGGGTCCCCACCAGACTTGCAAACGGAGAGGCAGAGGCAGAGGCAGCAGTAGCTTACTGTGGGCTAACCCCGTGAACCTGTCTCCAAGTGCCTTTTTTTTTTTTTTTTTGCCTCTGTACTTGTTTCCCAAGTCCCTGCAGCTCAGCTGGCTCACTTCTGCCTCTGTGACTTTCTTTCTAAAAGGTCAAGGCAGCTCTCTGAGCAGCCCACTCGAATCTTCTCTTCGAATGTACTGTCACTTTGCATGCTAAATAAACTTCCTCTTGCATTAGAGTTCTTGGCTCTGAATTCTTTCTTTACTAAACTGAAGCGTCGAGAATTAACACTGCCAGTAACAAAACCATTGGTCTTTTCAGAAAGCAATTTTTCAAGAGGATAACTAAGGAATCCGAATCTTGCATTAGTATTAAATTTTAAAACAAATGTCTAGAATCAAAGTAGACAAGACACACTTTACATAAAATTTATAACATTTATTTAGGCAAAAAAGAAATTCCAAAAACAAAAATCTTTACACACAAGATTAATATCTAAGTGATGTCCTGGTTTAAAATATAGCATGATTCACGTACAGAACACTGCCATTTATCTGGCCACAGTGAGAACAGTGCCTCCAGTCCAGATAACTGAGAGCCTTTGAAATGTATACACATTATACTTTCCAATGATATCCTTTGAAAGGAGTTAAACTCTTCCACTAGAATTCAAGCAAAAGATAGCTTTTTTTTTTTAAGTCAGAATTTGATAGTGGGAATTACACAAAAGTCAGGGATTTAAAATTTTTATTCTTGCAGATTATCTGAAAGTATAAATCTTGATATAACATCCTCCCATTTTTAAAGGGAAAAAACACTCAATTTCTTGCTTTTATGAAAGTGTGTTCAGCTTCCACTAGCTAAGTAGCTTCTTGCTTCTAGGCTGATTAAAATAAGCTTAAAAGAATCCAATGTTTTCCCAAAAGTGAGTCCCAAACTGAGCACATACTATTAATGAACTAGATCTATAATTTCCCATTTAATGATTGTGGTAAGTTTTGATTTTCTAAATATTCTTAATAGACATTCTGGCTAGCTATAAGGTTGTGCTGTCAAAAAGAGTTCTGCTTCATCCAGAGAAAGGAGGAACAGCATTGATTTTTCTCATAGTTTACCCCAAAAAATTGGGGGAGGAAAGAAATAGGCAGAGAAAGCTCTTTCTTAGGCTGCCAATCAGTTAACATAGAATGTCTTAGGTTAAGATTTGGAAACTGGCCTGGGCTGGGTAGCTCACTTGGTTAGAGCATCATCCCAATATGCCAAGGTTGCATCACCGGTTTGATCACCGGTCAGGAATCAATCAATAAATGCATAAGTGAAATAACAAACTGATGTTTTTCTCTCTTCTCTTTCCTCTCTCTCTAAGATGAATAAAACAAAACAAAAAAATTAAAAAGATCTGGAAACCAAAGAATGTATAATTAGGAGTATACCATGTCATGCAAAGACTATGAAATACTAAAAAAAGATAATTACTCATTTAAAGCATATTCAGCAAATGTTCCCATCATACTGCTATTCTCATCACTGGATAAAGGTTGGATTTGCATTATTCCTAAAATAATCAATTCATGAGTTAACAATAAAAATTTAAAATGTGCCAACACATTTGGCACAAATGGTAAAGATTAAATATCCAATATCCACACAGTCATTTCAAACTGCTACATGGATTTGAGAGGGAAACCGTAAGTTTGCAAATCTTTCTATAATCTGTCTTAAGCTACTACCCTGAAGCTCTAACCACAAAGTCCCAAATAAGTAACATGCAGATAAAACTGCCCACATCACTGACAATGTGACAGTGCCTTTAACTTATACCGTTAGTTTTAATAATACTGTTTATCCCAAGATAAAAGTTGCACAATAACCAAAGAACGTAAACATACCATTAGAGGGCAGCAGAGGGATAGGTTTTCAACAAAAAAATTTTTTCCCAGCTGCTCATGACCTCTTTTCAAACTTGAGTACATTGTTCTATGGAAGGGAAGGGATGGTGGGTGAATGTTATCCATGCATTTGGAAACATTAAGCCAAAACCATGATTCCTTAATCTGACCTTCCCTAATTTAACAAATAAAATGTTTTCATTAAAATGTGGTCCAGCCACAGCTGGTTTTGCTCAGTGGATATAGCCATCGGCCTGTGAACTGAAGGGTTCCAGGTTCAATTCCCGTCAAGGGCATATGCCTGGGTTGCAGGCTTGATCCCCAGTGGGGGGCATGCAGGAGGCAGCCGATCAATGATTCTCTCATCACTGATATTTCTATTTCTCTCTCCCTCTCCCTTTCCCTCTGAAATCAATAAAATTATTTTTTTAAAAAAATGTGGTCCAAAGGGCTCGAAGATGGCCCAATGCCATCTTACACATGGTATAATAATAATAATAAAATAATAATAAACACAGCCAAATGAAAGTGAATGGGGAGAAAAAGGGCCAACTCAAAATGTTCCATTTAGTAAAAGCAACTTCATAGGCTGAATATATAGGATTAATGTTTTTACACATGAATCTCTAATTCCTGGGTTGTTCGCAATCAAAAGATAAGATTAAATTCCCACTGCAGCTTTACAGTGATTCATTGCATTCATGGGTAATTCACTTAAGTTGATTGATGCCACTAAACAGAATTTCTGTTCAAGAGTGAGTAGTAGTAATATGTAAGTTAATTTCTGTAATTGTGGACCTGATAAGATTTTTTAAATCTGCAACTAAGGTCAGTAGCCACTGAGGCCTTGGCCAGAAGGTAAAATAACCATTTATTACTACCTGATTTATGTTTTTTCAACTGCAAGAAGAAGAAAAAATGATTTTTTAGAGTTCAAAGGTCACAGCCAAACTTACTTGATGGAAAAATGAGATGGCTTAATTTTTGCTTTAATTTCAGACTGCTCTTGTTTTACTTAACAATACCACCAACATGCATCATTATATTCTAAAAAGTCTAATTCCATTTCCTGTTGATCTCTTGCTGTTGCTTGTGGACTGCTGTACTGTTATTTTACAATATCTGAGTGCTTCTTGATTTGAGCAATGAGTGGTTCAACCCTAGTCTTAATTGTGCTTGAAATAGTACTTTTTAGCCACTGAAGAAGTAACCCTTGAAGGCACCAAGTACTGTTAAATTCTGTTATAAAAATGCAAAAGGAAGGCCTAATAGATTCTAACTGTAGAGAGAGGCCAGTTATGCCTTATAATTTCAATATTTTAGCCAGATTCAAGACCTTAGAAACAATTCTGTGCCTTAATTAGATATACAACTTTAAGAACCATCCCAACAATAAAGGCACTACAATTTTTATATATTTGGGAAGTGATCAATTATTTTGCTTTTAAGACTCAGGAGGTATTTGGCCATCACCAGTGCTCAAAGTAGTAAATTAAAATATCTGAGTCTTCATCTATCAACAAGTTATTCTGTGTAAGAAGAGATTTATTATTTTCTGTACATCTTTAGCCATTCCTGAAAACAACTTGTTAGGAAAAATCTAGGATTAGCCTTTAAGGAACATGCACTGTCTTGAACAGAATATAAGAGAAACTTAAAGCCAAGCTTGTACAAATAGCCTTTCCCTTTACTACACAAGCTAGGAGACTTGGAAGTGGTCAACATAGCTGGTAGCAACTTCCAAGATACTGTAGGCTGTCCTATTTTCTACATTTTGCCTTTGATATTAAAATTCAGAAAAAAAGGGGAAAATTTTAAAAGAATTTTCTATTTCCTCTGTAATAGGCTTATTCTATACAAATTTATCCTGTATCTATAACATTTTTTTAAACCAATTAAGTCAGAATTAACACACCATTTTACTTGATATTTAATGGTTTTTAAAGACCTACGTTAGTTTAAATTTTCATCCCTGTGGAGGAGTACCAAATAATTCAAGTATGATTACTGTAATAGTGGTATGAAATGTGAATGTCAAAAATGTTATCAGCATACTAGTAAACCAGCTCCTTTCTAAATAAAAATGCTTCTGAATAATCACCATAATTTAAATATACCATTTAAAATCTCTACTGAAAATATTTGGTCATCTATGGAAAAAAATGCATTCATCTGAGATTGTGATTAACTTTAATCACAAAGTAAAATTTTAAATGGGAATTAAGTTTTTGGTGACTTGCTGCCTCCCAACTGCTGTTATTGATATAATGATAACTGATTCTTTACCATACTATAACAGGTATCTTAAAGGAAAGGCAATCATATAAAAAAATAATCAATCAAAAAGTATTTTCTCTTATGCACTGCACCTAGAATCACTATATTTAACAACAGTCTAATTCTACTTGTTCATTTTGGCAGTACAATGTGGACATCTTTCTCCAACATAAAAACATTAAGATACATGTATTTTGAAACAAAAGAAATTTAACTTCTTGTGGCAAAATTTACTGTTGTTAAACTTGTATTTTAACTGAGCAGGTAACATCATGTGTAGTCTCTCTATTCCACTGAACAAAATTACTTTGAAATAGAGGGACAAGAATGGTCAGTTTTAACAAGACATTTTAAAAATTCACATTTTCACAACGATGTGACCTATCGATTCAGAGAGTTAATCTGTAACATTTTACACTGTGATGTCTGAGGATTATTTCTAGAGAATTTGTGTAGGAAGCAGAAGTCCATGCTTCCAGGAATAATTATGAAGAAGCTACTGCTCATTGCCCCAGGAGATGTGGACTCCAGAAGCATAGCCTGCTCCACTTTAAAAACTATACCATAAGACCAGACCTTTTCCCAGTTCCTAAACTCTGTTATCCCTTAATAGTTTTTCTTTTTAATATATTTTTCTTCCAGCTATCCAAGCTCCAGCCAGTGAGTAGCTTTCCCAAGGAGAGGGTTCAGATTTCCATTCTTTCACACTAAGGAGGGCATCTGATAAAAGGTACACAGACAGAGAATAAAGACATTTTATACAGAGCATTATAAAATTTACAACTGAAGCGGTTTCAGAAATCAGGTTTACAGCTTATCTGAAGCTGCAAACTGATTAGAAGGGTCTTTAAGGTCAGAAAAGTCTGGCCTAAGGGTTCGTGCAAACTTTGTCATAAAACTGTAGAATTTCAAGCACAGGTAAGTTCAAACACTGAAAGATGTAGAAATTTTTCTAAAAAGCAATGATGAAGGAAGAGACCCTTCTTACCTCATAAGTTAAAAATCACAAAACAAATTAGAGACTGTTCACATGGGCAGTACTGTACATCATCAATCCCAAACTGATCTAAGCCTCTTGTTATGGAAACCCCAAAACATCACAGAAGATATCCTAATGAACCTATGACAAAAAGGATTCCTGTGATTCAATTATCCAATTGCCTATGGCTATCAATTTAGTCTGGCCTGGGGCTGCTTTTTACAGGGAGGTGGTCTCCCATGGCGTACAATGTGTTTTTCTAAAGTGTCCAGAATGGCCACAGCAATCTGCTGGACATGGGGATCAGTCTGTTCATGTTCTTTGATGTTGTATAAATGCTGCAATCCTCCTTCTTCAATCAACATGCTGCAATACCTTGAGGCTGAAAGAAAACAAGAGAAAGAGCTTTTCTTAAAACACTTAAAAATTATTCCACACACACAAAAAATAATTATTTTTCACTTAAATTTAGCTCTTTTGTTATTGACTGCTAACATATGCTACAGATTGATAAATACCTTTGTAATGATGTTATGTCTACACTGCAAGTTCCCACACATAAATAATACACGTACCATATATATATATTTACATTTACATTTTAATCATAACCTTAAGACATAGACAATCTGGAAAAGAAAATTTATTCGACCCCAAATCACAAGATAGGTGCTTGTTACACTTTTATGCATTTCCTGTTTTTTAATATATATTCTTTTATTTTATTTTATTTTTCAATTACAGTTTACATTCAATATTACTTTGTTTTAGTTTCAGGTGTACAGCATAGTGGTTAGAAAATCATATACTTTGCAAAGTGTTTGCCCGATATTTCCAGTACCTATCTGACATCATACAGTTATTACAATATCATTGACTGTATTTCCTATATGACTATACATTCCCATGACTACTTTTATAATTGCCAATTTGTACTTCTCAATCCTTTAACCTTCTCCACCAGTACCTCCACCCCCACCCTCATTTCTGTTTTTTAAAAATTTAATGGCACTGATATTGTACATGCAATTTTATTTCTGCATTTTTATTTTAAAATATTTTTTTGTACACACAATTTTTTTAAAAATATATTTTATTGATTTTTTACAGAGAGGAAGGGAGAGGGATAGAGAGTTAGAAACATCGATGAGAGAGAAACATCGATCAGCTGCCTCCTGCACACCTCCCAGTGGGGATGTGCCCGCAACCTAGGTACATGCCCTTGACCAGAATCGAACCTGGGACCCTTCAGTCCCCAGGCCGACGCTCTATCTACTGAGCCAAACTGGTTAGGGCTACACACAACTTTTAAAGCCTTATTAGTTTTAGTCATTTATTAAAGTATAATTTACACACAATAAAACAAAATTAAAGTTAATCTACATTTTGATGAGTTTTGCAAATGTATATACACCTGTGGTATAATTCTTGTTTAAGTTTTTTGGTGGACTTTCCATTTCATTGATTTTGAGGAAATATCTGGAATGCTGGGCAAATGCTAAATGTATGTTTAACTTTAGAAGAAGTCACCAAATTATTTTCTAAAGTGGTTATATATTTTTCCATCCCATTAGCAAAGAACGTGAAAGAGTTATTTCGCATTCTCGCCAACACTTGTCCTTGTCCATCATTTTGATTATAGGCAGCCTTCCTAGTATGTGTGAACTGGTATCTCATTGTGACTGAATTTATAGTTCTCTAATGACATGATGTTGGTCCTGATTTTTAATTAAAAAAAAACACACTACAGTTTATTATTAGTGTTTCTATGTGTTTCTTGTGCAATGTTTAAAGTAACTTATGGAATGAACTTATATTAATAAATAACTGATAAAACAGTTGATTCATAATCTTTAAAAAAGAGATATCAAACCTGATCTAGGCCTGGCTGGTGTGACTCAGTTGGTTGAGCGTCATCCTGTGCACTGAAAGGTCACCTATTTGATTCCTGGTTAGGGCACATGTACAGGTTTTGGGCTCAAGCCCCATTCGGGTGCGTGCAGGAGGCAGCCCACTGGTCTCTCTCTATATCTCTCTCTCTCTCTCTCTCTCTCTAAAAACTTACAAAACAAAAAACAAAACCCTTACCTAAATGCCTTCTTCTCCACAGACTATGGGTGCAGAGAGCAACATCTTGAATGGGGAAATTCTGTGTAGATGGGGACTGGGTACTGGAATGTACCATAAATATTGGATCTCCTTAAGACATTTTGCTCAAAAAATGAACCCACTGTAGGCTCCTCATTTTTACTATTATTTTTTTAAATGTCTGGGTTGTTGAATAAAACTTAGGTTCTCTTGACCCTTTTATTTATTTATTTTTAAATGTATTTTTATTGATTTCAGAAAGAAAGGGAGAGGGAGAGAGAGATAGAAACATCAATGATGTGAATCATTGATCTGCTGCCTCCTGCATGCCCCCTACTGGGGATTGAGCCCAAAACCCGGGCATGTGCCCTTGACCAGAATCAAACCTGGGACCCTTCAGTCTGCAGGCAGACACTCTATCCACTGAGCCAAATCCGTTAAAGTGGCTCCTAACTTTTATATTCCATGTTGGAACAATGTAAGTCTCATTCACTATTATCATTCAGTATCTACTATTGGCAAGCTCATTCTGAAAAAATAAATGTACTTTATAAACTAAGATTCTCTTATATAGTATTTTAAAAAGTCTATGTCCTTAAAAATCACTTAAATACACAATTCAGAAATGGTTTTTCTATGTAAGGAGAATTTTCCTTGAGAAAGAAAAACATAGTTTCTTTTTGGTACATACGATTCTTGCTGCAGACATGTTGCATGGCCCAAACTGCCCATAGCTGGACTCCTGGTGTTGTGAAACAGCCAAGTAATGGGAAAAATGGATTAAAGGACCTAAAAGTACAAAAGAAAAGAAGAAAAGTTACATCCTCTACTTAGTGTCATTTTCTTTCTTTTTAAAAAATTCCTCACCTGAGGATAAGTTTATTTATTTTAGAGAGAAAGGGAGAGAGAGAGAGAAAGAGAGAGAGAGAGAGAGAGAGAGAGAGAGAGAGAGAGAAAGAAAGAAAGAAACATGGATGTAAGAGAGAAACATCAATCGGTTGCCTCCTGTTCACACCTTGACTAGGGGAATGAACCTGCAACCAAGGTATAACATTTTTGGTTGATGAGACGATGCTCCCACCAACTGAGTCACCCAGCCAGGGCTTAGTGTCATTTCCTAAAGCAATGATTCCTGAGCTTTTCACTCTAGAAATTTTATCCAACTATTTTTAAACTAATATAAATGAGCTATCAGTATATCTTTCCTTTGTCTTAGCCATTTGAAAAAAGGACCATATTCTGAGAAGTTTTGGTAGAGAAGATGGAAGGTGACTAGAACAAGGTACTAACACAGAAAATTTAAAAAGTACTTTTTTGGTCTTGAAGACACACATTTAAAGAATAACAGACCTTGGCTGGAAAACCTAGAAAAGAAAAAGTTAGTTGATAACTAACTGGTAGAACACCATGAAGGAGGTCTAGAATTAGCCTTTCTATTTCTACTGGTTTTCTGCCCAAAAGTGGGTAGAACATAAGTTGGGAGAATCATAAATGTTGGCAGCATCAGCATTTATGAAGTAGATAACAAAAATAAGTTGTAACAATATTATGCAGCCATCTGGAATATTTCAAGTAATTAGCAATTAGCTATCAAGTCAACTAATTGTCATAAGCAGAGTTAGGCATCCAGTATGCACCTTAATAGATTATTATAAATTGTTTCCCTAAACTAATTTGGTGCTACTTCTAGTTCTCTCAATCTTGTTTTGGAACTCCTTATATTAATATACTGTTTCCTGTTCCTAAAATCTTATGCCCTTACTTAATTATTTCTCAAAATTCAGCTCATAATCTACTTCCTCTGGAAACTCTTAACCATTTTCCAATGCAGATTTAAGTACTCTCATCTTTAATTGTATAGCCTTCTATGCACAAAACTAGCACAATAGTGAATCATATCTGATTCGCATTTGGTCTCCCTCACTAGGTTCTTGTGTGCAAACACCATCTCTTACTCCTCTTTGAATTTCAAGAGCAAAAAACAAGTCCCTGGCATTTGTCTTCAATAAAAGTGGAATAAAGGAAGGACTGATGAATGAGAGGTAGCAGAAAGTAAAGATACTTTGCTTCTTTTAAAACCAGTAGGAAGATAGATACCTGGGGGCAGGGGGTAGGGGGGGTTATGTACCTAATAGGAATTACACATTTAGTAGGACCTCTAGGCAAGCAAAATGACTAGGTTACTGTCTTAATATTAATTATCTTGCTAATTACCTGTATGCTACCATCTCACACTCTGGAGTTGGCCATTTCAAAATAGCTGAATGCTGCAAGACAGAAGACACAAGACACACAAAAAAAGGATTAAAATATTTATTTAGCATTGCATTATTGCATTATGAAGCTTTGATAGTTTAACCGCTATGAATATTGTGTGTATGCTTCCAGAAAACACCAAATGATCCTACCAGATCATCCAGCAGAGAATTCCTCTGGCTACGGCTCAATGTCCAAGCTTGTTCACCTCTAGATATTAAATGGGCAATAATTCCTGCTGCAAAGTAACTGACTTCCACTTCCACACTATGTAGGAGACTGCTGATGTGGTCTATAAAATCCTTCCACATCAATTCAGAATGCAATTCTTGTACTTCAGCTATATTGTTCTGGAAAAAAAATTAAAAGTGATATATAGTAAATGCCTAATGACCCTTTGTACTTTAAGAAACAACAGAGATTGAAATGATTTAAACATGTACCTGAAATTCAAAGAGGAGTAAGAGAGGTACCTGTATTTGGACATAGCTGAAGACTGTTGCTATATTAGCACTGCGGGATTATGGGTGATTTTTTCCTCTCCTCTCCAAACAAAATAATAAACTGTGAGTCCCTTTTCAGGCAAAATTGTTAAATAGATAACCTAAAAATGTCCTGATATAAAATATCTAGAAGTGCTGGGTGAATAATAGCTAGCAACCTTTAAATATGTAGCAAACAGAACCAAACTAGAGCAGTAACAGGCCATCACCAATCTGCAGGGGACGAGAACTGGGTTTTAATAGCCATGCAAAGCCAGAAGGTAAGGGCTAAAAATTGGAACTAAGACTTCACATACAAAAGAAGGACTTTCAAAGTGTTACACCTCAATAAAAGAGTGGATGAAAAAGAAACCTACTGTAATCTACTCTCTGGCCTAAAAGGAAAAGTCTTCCCTTATAATTTATAACCAGGGGCCTACCTTCATGCAAGGCTGTGGTTAAACCCCAACTTAGAAAACAAGAGCAAGAGAGGTAGGAAAAAAACCAGAAAAGTTTGGTATCTAGAAAGCAGAGAGGGGTGAGTATATCAAAAGGGTAAAGGAAACAGTAGTTCTGAATACTGTGGAGAGCCTAAATAAGATGAAGACAAAAAACATCCATTTGTTTGAGCAATATAGCGATCTTGTGCCTTAAAAATTTCATAGCCTTAGGTCCCCACTGAATACCACCAAAGTCTGCCTGCTGGCCTACAGAAGGCAGGTGTTTTATCTGGACTTGGATGTAATGGCTTCCCTTGGCAGCACATAGGAAGACCTCTGTTCACATGGGAAACAATTCAGGGGTTTCCAATTTATCTCACTACTCTGAAGATTATCCTCATTCTTTTTTTTTTTTTTTAAGGATAACTCTTAATTTTTTTAATTTATTGATTTTTAAAGAGGAAGGGAGAGATGAATAGAGAGTGAAAGAGACATCGATTTGTTGTTCTATTTATTTATGCATTCAATGGTTGATTCTGACCCAGGATTGAACCTGCAACCTTGGCGTATTGGAAAAACACTCTAACCAGTTAAATTATTTAACATTTCCCTATTACTGGGCATTTAGATCATTTTACATTTTCTACTTTATATAGCTAAGTGAATAGATAGGTCCTTCTTAAATGCCAGGCTCCAGCTGTCCCCCAAATCCATCTCTTATTGCTCAGTATTTCAAAGTCTTGCATCTGGAAAACAAACACAAATCTACATATTTTTACTCACTAATCTATGCCTCCTATGATCTACTTCCTTCAGAACAGAGGTCTGCTCTAAAATGGTTTTTACCACATGGGCACTTTGCCTGTTGCAGAGATTAAAGCATTTGATCCTTCATCTTTGATCCATAAAACATTTGATCTTTCATCTTTGTCTCAAAATCCTAGAGGGCTCACTTTCACCAAATCCAATATATTTACTGAATATATGATTTGTTAAGAAGTCTTTTTTTTTTCTAATATATTTTATTGATTTTTTACAGAGAGGAAGGGAGAAGGATAGAGAGTTAGAAACAGCGAGGAGAGAGAAACACTCGATCAGCCGCCTCCCCCCCACTGGGTTTATGCCTGCAACCAAGGTACATGCCCTTGACCGGAATCGAACCTGGGACCTTTCAGTCCGCAGGACGATGCTCTATCCACTGAGCCAAACCAGTTAGGGCTGTATGTGGCATTTTTAAATGAGATTTTTTTCTGATTATAAAAGTAAATCATGCTCATGAAGTTTGTACTATACCAAAAATATAAAGTATGTAATTCATATTTTCCTTTTAATGTGGTGAAAATCTTAATATGTACATATAGTTTTGTACACTGTTTTTTTACTTAGTTAAAATACATATGTTTTCTAATGTCATTAAGTATTTATAAATACAATAGCAACTTCAATGTATCGCCTCAGACAGAAAATAATTATAGGTTTGAACTAAGCAGGAAATGCTTATTTCTTACCAAAAGTCCTAGGACTTTCTGTTGAATGGATGACTCAGTTGGAAAAGACTGTAAAAAGAAAGAGAAACCTATAATTACCTAAAGAATCAAATATAATAAATGCTTAAATCAATCAATAAATGTCAAAACTGTAGGCTAAATTCCCATTCTAACCTCTAGAACCCTCATGAAGAGTTCTAACCCTTGGTTTTCAATAAAGTGTCTGCAAGTGGTTGGAGATTCATCTGTGAGGTTCCAAAGTGCACTCAAAGTAAATTTCAAAGTAGTATCCACCGAATTTTGATTGGTTTTCTGCTTCACTATTTGAAGAAGTTGCTAAAAGAAGAAAAATAGAATTAATTTCTCATTATTGAATTATTACAATTATTAGTGGCAATAACTAAAAGTCCATTAGGTTTAGTCTCATGGCTTAAGACACTTCCTATAAAGGTTTTTATAAGTATAACAAACAGCCTCCTAGACCAGACTATTCCTCCAACAAGAAAAAAGTATAGGAACTTCACAAATACTTCTATATTATTCTGTTTGTACCTATAGTCTAATCACCTCTAAATAAAATGAAAAGCAAAATGATTAAACCTTGGGACCAATTATCTTACCCAATCAGTGACAACATATACTCATTTCAGATTCTGGCATATAAAAGGTGAAGGGGAGAATGAAGCAAACATTTATTTAGCATCAGCAAATTATATCCTAAATTGTAGTAGTGCTATCCCCACTTTTCAGGAGAGGAAATTCAGTCTGAGAGGTATTAAATTTGATCATAGTCAACTTAGTATGGGAAAGTAAGAAATGGAAGAACTAATTCTATCTTCAAGTTTTAAGAAAAAAAGAAAGGACAAACTAAATATAATAGTAAGAGAATTAAAGTCTATATTGGATTTCCAGGAGGAGGAGGTCAAGGGGGAGAAAAAGGGACTATCTGTAATATTTTCAACAATAAAGATACATTTTAAAAAAGAAAACAGAGGTTCAGGAAAAAATTAAGTCTATACTGGATTTAAATAAGATAATATCTTTGAAATTCCACTTATATATTATCTGTCATAGCTTTAACCTCTGAAATTTTTAAAGTTTGCAAGTTAAATGTTTTAACACCTACATAAAGCATCCATAATTCCATTTATACATTACACTTTTGGAAGTAAGAGACAGCTTTGCTAAAACAGATACAAGAAAACATTAATGAACACTTCAAGTTACATACAGTTCAGGAAAAATATTTAAGAAACACAAACACTTCTGTGCAATTATTTAAATTAATAGCATAGAGGCTAGGAGTTTGGCATCAGAATCAGGTTACCTGAGCTTAAATATAATAATCTCTCTGCATCTGATTAACTGTGTAAACTTGTTTGCCAATTCTTTGTTTCCTCATTTGTAAATTGTAGGTGATAATTAAAAGCAAAAAAAAAAAAAAAAGCTATCATCATTACTACTACTACTGCTACTGCTACTACTACTACTAATTTCTGTTAATTCCTACTTAAGCTAAGCTTAATTTTCCCCCAAAGCATATGAGGGGGCTATTTCCTTAAAATCTTTGAATATATCTCCATCTAAAAGTACTGAGACATATATAGCAATGAAAAGCCATATTTATAATTAAAATGCCATTCTGAATATAGTAAAAATAAATAAAATCAGCATCATTTTCCACTTAACTAATATATATTGTATCATCTAGCACTTAGCATATATTCCTTCAATTACTTTTTTCCTTTTCATTTAATCTTCATAATAACTGTATAAAGTATTTTTTACCACCCTTAAGAAAATTTATGTGACTTGCCCCAAATCACACCACTAATAAATAACAGAATTAGGAATAAACCTAGATATGTCAATTTAAGAATGCATACACTTTCCATTTACCACTACAGCCTTCTTTTATGTTACTTATTTCATTCATATCTTTATTATTATAGTTATTAGATTGCATTACAACTACCTCTACATAGCTATTTTCTATACTGTGAATTTCTTATGGGAAGATATTAGAAATATAATTCAGTGTGAATCCCTAACATTTTAAGGTGGTAGGTGATGAGTATTGTATAATTACCTATCAAATGAATGATTTACTTTGTCATTTCATACATAATTTATGTCATAGAAAAAAGGAGTCTCTCACTTGACTTTTCTATCTACTATGGTTGTTCAAACACCTCATGCCAGGATTATAACAGGAAGCCCCAAAATGGACGTTTTTCCTCCAGTTCTCCCTAAGACACTATTCATATTTATTCTCTTTAAAGGTTTTTAACTTTTCACTGTTCATTATATTATTTCCTCAACTGTGTAAGCAAGCAAAATAATACATGAACTATTTACATTATATTCTTCCCCAAATCATCTAGCATAATCCTAAATGTTTTTTAATATATATTTTATTGATTTCAGAGAGGAAGGGAGAGGGAGAGAGATAGAAACATCAATGATGAGAATCACTGATCAGCTGCCTCCTGCACGCCCCCTACTGGGGATCAAGCCCGCAACCCAGGCATGTGCCCTTGACTGGAATCGAACCCGGGACCCTTCAGTCCATAGGCCGATGCTCTATCCACTGAGCCAAACCAGCTAGGGCTAGCACAATCTTATGCCTATCATCATCTTTACATTTTCTTCATAAATTTAACAAAATCACAAAATTTTAGAACTCGGTAAGATCTTAAGGTTTATATATACACTAATAGTTCAGGCAATTTTTCTAAATTCACAAAATGAATTTACAAATGAGATCCTAGGTCATCTGACTCTTAGTTCAGGGCTCTTTCCATCTCTGTTAAGGAGTAAAGCTGCCTCTATAAAAGGAATTAATACACTCATTTAGAAGAAAGGAAAATAATTTTTAAAATATAAAGTATCAGAAGATACACAACACTGCCTGAAAACAATGAAAATGAAAACTGTCTAGTGCTCTGCATAGAGGAGATAACACTTACCCTCACAATGAAGAGCTCAGCACCAAGCTGTGCAGTTTGTTCTGTAGAAAGCTGCAAGCAAGCAGACAAAATAAATGTCCAAGAACCCACTAGTGTGAATGTACTATCAGTCACTATAGCAGACTAAGGTCAGAGTAAAATCTTTGATCAACCTGGAATTCTGCAATTTTGAATTGCAAGCGTGAATAAGCAGGCTTGCAGAGAGGCTTACTAACCTTTGTGGCTTTCGGATTTTGGGAAAATAATAACTATAAGGGAAACACGAGTTCAGGTACCTTGGCAGCCAGAATGGAAATGATAGCAACTGCCATCCTTTGCATGTTTTGATCCTCATGGTTGCAGAGCCACTGCATGACAAGCTTAGCTGCTTCAAACCTGAAAACACACAAATGGGTTCATGAACTAATTCTGGAGGGGCAGGCACAATTTCAGAGTCCCAGCTGGAAACTGATAATTCCTCTTAATTAACAGAGAATAATAATGATACTTAGTGTTCTGGAGACAGTACCGCAATATTAATTCTGACACTTTGTAATGAAATAAGAGTCAAAACTACTGGGCATTCATCTTCTAAAATTACAGCACATTTCTATTCTGCAGTGATTTCAATAATGTAGTAATAAGTATTTTCTGGGTTCCTCACAGTAGCTAGCACAACAGTAATTCATTCACTTACAATCATGTATTGAACTCCTCTTATGCCAAACATTGTTCTCGGTGCTAGAGACAGAGTAGGGTTCGGGTTATTTTATATTTTTTAGATTCCACATATAAGTGACATTATGTGGTATTTGTCTTTTTCTGTCTGACTTACTACACTGAGCATAATACCATCTAGGTCAGTGATGGCGAACCTTTTGAGCTCGGCGTGTCAGCATTTTGAAAAACCCTAACTTAACTCTGGTGCCGTGTCACATATAGAAATTTTTTGATATTTGCAACCATAGTAAAACAAAGACTTATATTTTTGATATTTATTTTATATATTTAAATGCCATTTAACAAAGAAAATCAACCAAAAAAATGAGTTCGCATGTCACCTCTGACATGCGTGTCATAGGTTCGCCATCACTGATCTAGGTCCATCTATGTTGTCACAAATGGCAAGATTTCATTCTTTTTTAAAAAACTATTTTTATTTTATTACATTTTATTTTATTTTATTTTTCAATTACAGATGACATTCAGTATTATTTTATATTAGTTTCAGGTGTATAGCATAGTGGTTAGACATTTATATAATTTACAAAGAGATCCTTCCAATAATTCTAATACCCACCTGACACTATACATAGTTATTATACTACTAGAGGCCCAGTGCACAGGATTTGTGCACTGGTGGGGGGGCTGGCCTGTGTGGATCGGCCCACTACGGGAGCAGCCCACTGTGGGAGCGGCCCACTGTGGGAGCGCCGCTCATCCTGATCAGCCAAGCAGCTGTGGACCTGCCCTCTGAGCGGCTCCTCCCTGGTCCAGCATCTTCTAAGGAGCCAGAGCACCTGCCTCTCCAGGGGACCCAATCGGGGCCGGGCCCAGGGACAATAGCACTGAGAGGCGGTAGAATAGGTCTCAGTCCTGCAGCGGCCACGAACCCGCCTCCTAGCCTCTGGGGTTAGCTCTGTGAGCCTGGCAGCAGCACTGCACAACCTGAGGGCATCCAGAGGAGGCAGCAGGGAGTGAGGAGGAGGAGCCGATGATTGCAGCCTGGGTTCCTGCCCGTCGGCCTGGGGTTCGCAGCGGGAGCAGCCTCTCATCCCTGTCAGCAGCGCTCCCACTGTGGTAGTGCACTGACCACCAGGGGACAGCTCCTGCATTGAGCATCTGCTTCATGGTGGTCAGTGTGCATCATAGCGACTGGCTGACGGGCTGTTCTGGTCATTCCACCATTTGGTCGCTGGGCTTTTATTATATGCTAGAGGCTTGGTGTACAAAATTTGTGCACGGGAGGGGGGTGTCCCTCAGCCTGGCCTGCACCCTCTCTAATCCAGGACCCTTGTGGGATCGGGCCTAATCCAGCAGTTGGACATCCCTCTTGCAATCTGGGACCGCTGGCTCTTAACCGCCCACCTGCCTGCTGGCTTGATCCCCCTAACTGCCTCTGCCTTGGCCCTGCCACCATGGCTTTGTCCAGAAGGACATCTGGTCTAATTAGCATATTACCATTTTATTAGTATAGATAGAGGCTTGGTGCACGGGTGGGGGGGAGGGTCTCTTCTGGGGGTGGGGCCAGCCTGAGCTAGGGGCTGAGGGCTGTTTGCAGGCTAGCCATGCCCCCATTGGGGTGGGGGTCCCCGCTGGGGGGCGTGGCCAGCCTGGGCGAGGGGCTGAGGGCCGTTTGCAGGCTGGCCACGCCCCTGGCTTTGTCCAGAAGGACGTCTGGAAGGTCTCCGGAAGGTCTCCTGGTCTAATTAGCATATTACTCTTTTATTAGTATAGAGGATTATTGATTACATTTCCTATGCTGTACTTCACATCCCCATGACTGTTTTGTAATTACCAATTTGTACTTCTTAATCCCTTCACTTTTTTCATGTAGCCCTCCAACTTCCCTCTCATCTGGCAACCCTCAGTTTGTTCTCTGTATCTATGAGTCCTTCTGTTTTCTTTTGTTCATTTATTTTGTTCTTTTAGATTCCACACGTAAGTGAAGTCATATGGTATTTGTCTTTCCTGTCAGACTTGTTTCACTTAGCATAATACACTCTAGGTCCATCCATGTTGTCATAAATGGCAAGATTTCATTTTTTTATTTCTGAACTAGAGGCCCGGTGCATGAATTCATGCACAGGTGAGGTCCAGCCAGCCTGGCCCGATCAGGGTTGATTGGGCCGGGCCAGCTACGGGGAGGGGCCGCAGGCGGTTGACCAGCCGGCCCGCCCCCTGGCCGAACTCCAGGTCAAAGGGACAATTTGCATATTAGCCTTTTATTACTAGTATATAGGAGGATACTATTCCATTAAATAGGTAGGTAGGTAGGTAGAGATAGATAGATAGATAGATAGATAGATAGATAGATAGATAGATAGATAGATACTACATTTTCTTTATTCATTTACTGATAGATATCTAGGTTGCTTCCATATCTTGAGTATTACTAGTAATGCTGCAATAAACATAGGGGTGCATGTGTCTTTTCAAATTAGTGTTTTTGTTTTCTTTATATAAGCTGGCAATAGATTCCTAATGGGCCTCTGCCTCCCTCCATTGCGTTCCCTTCAATTTCTGCCTACACAATTGTAATAAATAAATCTGTAAGAGGACTTAGGTATGATGTCACTCTTGTAGTTAGTATTTTATGATTCTAGCAATGGGCCCATACATTCAAATCTTTTTTCCTGCCTACCATATTCTTACTGCAAAGTAGACTGCTCATTAGTCCCCGAAACATACCCACAGTTATGAGGTAATATGGCCTGAAGTTCTTTGGATTTTTTGGTTTAAATTCTAGTTCTATTTTTATTTTTTCATGTGAGGTGATGCGTTAAGTCATTAAAAACATCATAGGCCCTAGCTGGTTTGGCTCAGTGGATAGAGCATCAGCCTGCAGACTGAAGAGTTCCGGGTTTGATTCTTGTCAAGGGCAGGTGCATTGGTTGCAGGTTCAATCTCTGGCCCTGGTTGAAGTTTGTGTGGAAGGCAACCCATCGATGTGTCTCTCTCACATCAATGTTTCTCTCTCTGTGTCTCTCCCCCTCCATTCTACTCTCTCTAAAAAAAAAAAAAAAAATCAATGGAAAAATATCCTTGGGTGAGGAGTAACAAAAACATTATAAACTTTGGAGTCAGTCTGGACTCAAATATCACCTTCTACCACTTATTAACTTTGGGACCCTGAGCAAGTCCCTTAATCTCTCTGAACTTCAATATTCTCATCTATCTATAATAGTAAAAGCATAATATGCTAATTAGACCAGATGTCCTTCCGGACATCCTTCCGGATGACCTTTCGGATAAAGCTGGGGCTGCGAGGAAAGCCGGTGCCAGTAGCCAGGGGAAGGAAGGCCTACTCTTGCACTAATTTTGTGCATCGGGCCTCTAGTAAAATAATAAGATCTATTCTACAGGACTGTCATGAGGATTAAATGATATCACATATCAAGCTTAAGACTTAGTACAGAACTTGACACACACCACGCTTTTGATAAAGGTTATTTTTTTACTAGTATTATTGACTTCCTCTGTGCCTTTATTTGTACAGTTCCCAAAACATAAAACAACTCAACTAGCTTCATCTTTAAAGCATATAGCATGGCATAAAAAGTACAGGCTCTCAGTCAGTCTGGATTTAAATCTAAATTCTGCTACTTACTATCTTATCACCTTGAGCAAGTTACTAAACCTCTGTGTGCCTCTGTTTCCTCATCTGTAAAATGAAGATTACAAGACTAATCATTTCACAGGACTGATATAAGGACTGAATAAGCATATGTAAAACACAGCACAGTGCCTTGCGATTCCAGTGCTTCATACATGTTAGTTATTTTTATTATCTCAAATGCCATCACTAACATGAAATCTTTAATGATTACGAATCAGATGGAATCTTTCCCTCCTTGTTTGGGGGCCCAATTCATTCTGTTACTTCTTCTATGAAAAATTCTGTTTTCTATTATACTCATTCATTCATCCTTCCATCCATTAAACATCCACTTAAGCACTAGAGACAAAGAGATAAATCAATCACAGTCTCTAACCACAAAGAAGTTCAATTCTAGTAGAGGGCACTAGCTATAAAATAAAATTAGTAATCTACTATATATATTCCAAACTACTTATTTTAAATAGTAAATGGAACACCTCATTCCTCAGCCATGCCATATAACAGTGTACTGTTAACAAAATAAAAGTAAATCACAGTAAAATTGCTGCTGGAGAAATATACATTTCAGTATAAATTTCTTTTTCAAAATATCATCATTAAAAATTATAAAACAGTAAAATGAAAAAAATCTCTTTTATCTCCCAAATTATAGCATCTTAGAAAACCCTTTTTACTTATTGGTATCCAGTCTTCCTTTAACCTCTGCTTAAAAGTTTCCTCTTAAAAAGTTTCTTCTATAATTCAATATCAAATAACTAATAATAAGAGGTATGATTCAGAGAAAAGAACACTGAACTAGAACTAGATGACTTCTAGTCTGGTAATTACTAGTCACAAAACCATGGGCAAGCACTGAATCTCTATATGCCTCAGTTTCTTTAGCCCACATTATTATGTGGATATTTTTAAAACTATAATCAATATAAATTCTTAAGCAAAGGGCTATGAAAACAGGGGCCCATCTGCTATCATGAATATCAAGACACTGAACTAGAGAAAGTAGATTTAGCATTCTATAAGACAACATATAATCCCATCTACTTGATTAATTGTACATACAACAGGGATATAAGTGGTACGAAATTACCTAAGACTTGTCTGGCGTAGCTCAGTGGTTGAGCGTCGACCTATGAACTAGGAGGTCATGGTTTGATTCCTGGTCAGGGCATATACCTGGGTTGCAGGCCTGACTGATCTCCAGTGTGGGGCGCGCAGGAGGCAGCCAATCAATGATTCTCTCTCATCATTGATGTTTCCATCTCTCTCTCCCTCTCCCTTCCTCTCTGAAATCAATAAAAATATATTAACAAACAAACAAAAAAAAGAAATTACTCAAGACAGATTTCTAAAATTCTGTTTTGTCCTATTTTAAGTTTTAGGACTATCACTTGCCTGTTAAATGGAACATCTTGAAGGATCCGGTCACTGCAAAGTGAAAGGAGGCAATTCTTCTGCAACTAAAGAACCAAAGGGAGAAAAAAAAATCATAAATAAAATGTTGCTTTGTTACTTGTTATTTTTTAAACAGGAGTAGCCTCTATATTAAAAAACAAAACAAAAAACGGAAGAAGACTGATGAAACCCCACTCATTTTACAGCCTTTATTTTGGCACCTACTGTTGAAATAATGACTTCCACTGGACACATATAAGTTTACCAGCACATTTTTTTTCTTTTCCTTTAGATGACAAATAGGATAAGAAGTAGGATAATTCCAGCTAATTTCCCTCTGTTCTGGTAGACTTTAGGTGGGTCCCGTTTTGTCTTCTGTCTACCTGGCTTCCAGGGGCCATGAAAAACAAAGCCCAAAGTTTATCTGGTTTGAGGGAAGCTGGCTTTAATGATCCACTCACCAATGTGGGATGCCATTTTTACTTGGTTTTGGACATATTTTTTACTAACTTGCCAAGTCACTGCTAAATTTTAAGAGTTAAAAATATAATTTAAGCCCTGGCTGGGTGGCTCAGTTGGTTGGAGCATCATCCCATTCACTGAAAGGTTGTGGGTTTAATTCCTGATCAGGGGGGAGAATCGAAGATGGCGGCATAGGTAAACACCGGAGACTGATGCCGCAAACAACCACTTCAAAAATACAACTAAAAGACGGAACGGACATCAACCAGAACCACAGGAAGGCTGGCTGAGAGACTCTTCAACTAGAAGGAAAAACAACAGCATTACGAGGCTCAGAAGAGGCGCAGTGTGGAAAATTTAAAGGTGCGGAGGTGCGCGCGCAAAGCGGGCTGGTGGCTGAGGGCGCAGTTGTCGTTTTCAATCAGGAGGGAGTCTCAGACTCTGGGCTACAGATCCGGGCGAGTCTCTAGGGACCCAGACTCAAACGGGAGAAGCGGGACTGTCTGGCTACGGTCCCTCCGAGGTTTGCAGCGGTTGCTGGGACAGAGAGGTGGAGCCCTTGGGGACGGACTGAGAGCAGCCATAGCTGCTCCCTCCACCCGCCCTGTTGAGCCCGCCCCGCCCAAGCCCTGCGCAGAGCCATTTGCCGGATTGCCTCAGGCAAAGGCTAGATTAGCCCCTCCCCAGAGGACTGAAGTTTTCCACACAGCTGATTCTCACAGCCAGTCGGCCTGGTGGTCAAATCCCTCTAGTATTAACTACAACAATTAAGGCTTAACTAGAACAAGACTGTGCACAAGGACGATAAGGGGGTGCACCAAGAAAGCATAAAAGATGCGGAGACAAAAAAACATGACAGAAATGGAGGATATGGAGCTAAGAATCGCAATTTTGAGGGCTTGCAATAAACTTGAGCAGAGCCTCACGAAAACTAATGAGACCCTCGATGCTACGATAAAGAAATTAGAAAGTAAGCATACACGGACTGAAATAAAGAATATTATACCCAATAGCAGACCAGAGGAGCACAAGAATCAAACCAAAGATTTGAAAGCAAAAAACACCCAACTGGAAAAGCAAAATGAAAAAAGAATCCGAAAGTGTGAAGATAGTGTAAGGAGCCTCTGGGACAGCTTCAAGCGGACTAATATCAGAATAATAGGAGTGCCAGAAGATGAGAGACAGCAAGATATTGAAAACCTATTTCAAGAAATAATGGCAGAAAACTTCCCCCACCTGGTGAAAGAAATTGACTTACAGGTCCAAGAAGCGCAGAGAACCCCAAACAAAAGGAATCCAAAGAGGACCACACCAAGACATATCATCATTAAAATGCCAAGAGCAAAAGACAAAGAGAGAATCTTAAAAGCAGCAAGAGAAAGAGGCTCAATTACCTACAAGGGAATACCCATACGACTGTCAGCTGATTTCTCAACAGAAACTTTGCAGGCCAGAAGGGAATGGCAAGAAATATTCAAAGTGATGAATACCAAGAACCTACAACCAAGAGTACTTTATCCAGCAAAGCTATCATTCAGAATTGAAGGTCAGATAAAGAGCTTCACAGATAAGGAAAAGCTAAAGGAGTTCATCACCACTAAACCAGTATTATATGAAATGCTGAACGGTATCCTTTAAGAAGAGGAAGAAGAAAAAGGTAAATATACAAATTGTGAACAACAAACATGCATCTATCAACAAGTGAATCTAAGAATCAAGTGAATAAATAATCTGATCTACAGAATGAACTGGTGATTATGATGAATCAGGGACATAGAAAGGGAATGGACTGACTATTCTTGGGGGGGAAAGGGGAATGGGAGATGCGGGAAGAGACTGGACAAAAATCGTGCACCTATGGATGAGGACAGTGGGTGGGGAGTGAGGGCGGAGGGTGGGGCGGGAACTGGAAGGAGGGGAGTTATTGGGGGGGGGGGAGAGGAACAAATGTAATCTGAACAATAAAGATTTAATTTAAAAAAAAAAAAAAAGAAACAAACAAACAAAAAAATTCCTGATCAGGGTGAGTACAAGAGGCAACAGATTGATCAGTGATTCTCTCACATCAATGTTTGTCCCTATCTCTCTCTAAAATCAATAAAAACCATACCAGCTGGTATGGTTCACTGGCTGAACCAGGAGGTCATGGTTTGATACCTGGTCAGAGCACATGCCAGGGTTGCAGGCTTGATCCCCAACAAGAGGAAGCCATTCAATGATTCTCTCCCATCACTGAGGTTTCTTTTCTTTTTTTTTTTTTTTAACATATTTTTATTGATTTCAGAGAGGAAGGGAGAGGGAGAGAGAGAGATAGAAACATCAATGACAAAAAAGAATCACTGATTGGCTGCCTCCTACACGTCCCCTACTGGGAATCGAGCCCACAACCCAGGCATGTACTCCTGACCGAAATTGAACCCGAGACCCTTCACTCCGCAGGCTGATGCTCTATCCACCAAGCCAAACCAGCTAGGGTTCATCATTGATGGTTCTTTCTCCCTCTCCCTTTCTGAAATCAATAAAAAATTATATATAAATATAAAAGAGGTAATATGTAAATTGTCCGGAATGCCATAACATCACGACCGCTCAGGAGGAGGCTGCAAGTGCAGGTGGGTGGGAGGGGACTGTGTGCGTGGTGAGGCAAGCCACGGCTGGTGCAGGCCCAGAGCGTACAGGGCCTGCCTGCCGCCGTGGCTGCGGGGAGGCCCGGAGAGAACAGGGCCCGCCAGCCGCGGCGCGTGAGCTGCAGAGGAAACACCTTTTCTGACCACTCATTGGCTAAGTTCCCTGTACGCCACCTGCAGTGTTCTTGGTAACTTGGGTAATAAGAATCCAAGAAGGTGATCTAGGGTTTTTCCACCTCACTACTGGAGGAAAAAACGAAGGTCTGCTGCTGGAGGGGCTAAGAAATATCATATCCTGCCCTAGCTGGTTTGGCTCAGTGGATAGAGCCTGGGCCTGTGGACCACAGGGTCCGGGTTGGATTCTGGTCAAAGACATGTACCTAGGTTGCAAGCTCCTCCCTGGCCAGGGCCCAGGTCAGGGGTCATGCAGGAGGCAACCAATTGAAGTGTCCCTTTCACATTGATGTTTCTCTCTGTCTTTCCCTCTCTCTTCCACACTCTCTAAAAATCAATGGAAAAATATCCTCAGGTGAGGATAAAAAAAAGAAAGAAATGTCATATCCTATGAAAGACAGCTTGAAAATGCCTAAAGAAAGTTGTCATTTTTTCATGGTGAAGTGACCTGACTCCATGTTGGTGAAAATACCTTGGTGGCTGCAGCAGCTGGCAGTGGCAGCAGCAGTGAAGTGATGGAGGCGGCGCCTTCCTCTGATCAGCCCAGTTGCCTCCCGCAGAGGGAGGCCTGGGAGCGGGCCTAAGCCGTCAGTAGGACATCCTCTGAAGGCTCCCGGACTGAGAGGGGGCAGGCTGGACTGAGGGACCCCCCACCCCACCCCCAGTGCACAAATTTTCGTGCACCGGGCCTCTAGTTATATAGATAAAGAAAAAATAAAAACAGCCTCAAATGAGGTTTTATATATCTATATCTATATCTATATCTATATCTATATCTATATAATTTAAGCAGTATTTTGAGTTGTCATCTGGCTAGGTTATATAGTCTGCCATACCTCTAGAAATAGAAAATCCTTGTCTTATTCATTTCTGTATCCCAGAACTTGATAGTATATGGCCCAGAACAGATAGATGCTCTATGGCTAGACTCAAGATCTAGATTGAAAATGAGTTTTATATGGCTTACACTATTTCCCTGAACATTTGGATTTAAATACTATTTAGGCAGGGAATGCACACTTTAGTTTTCTACTTCTCTGTTGTCCTACACTCAGTCATACCACAAATTTATTACTTTACAGCTTCTAAAGGCATTAGAATTTCCACCCTCGGTCTATTAAATTGAACTATATGGAGGTAGGAGATGGGTAGGAGACACTAAAAGGACTATTTGAATGCAGATTCCCACATGCTTACCTGCTGGTGATTAGGAAAATGTTCCATAGCTTTCAGCAGCAAATGGGTCACATCAGCCAGGAGTCGGACAGGCATTCCTACAGCAAGATCCTGCTTGGTTAAATTAAATACACAGGCGCTTGCAGCAAGTTGCACTGGTAAATTCATAGGGTGGTTTCTCATCCCAGTGACCACAAGCTGGAAAAAAAAAATTAATCCACCTTATAAATCCAAGCTCTCTTCACACAGCAACATTATTGTGTTAATATATAATAATTTCTAAAATGTCTTAAGTATCTTTTTTGTTCTCAAGTGCAAAGAGCCTAGGACATAGCAGTTGCTCACTAATACTTAGTTCCTGTGAACCTGGTTCATGTCCAGAAATTTTTCTGTAAGACTAATGAATCTTTTTTATTCAGGTAATTTATCTTTGTGTATCCAAGACCTAATACAGTATCTGTTATATGGTTAACACAATAAATTCTTAATGACTTAAATAGAGTAAAGCAGATGCAAACTAGTTTCAGATGAGACTGGGCACGTCAGGGTGATATGGCAGTAGACTAAATTTCACTTTCTTTTTTTTTCTACTTTTACTTTTATTCGCATTTATTTTATGCTGAATTTACTCCCTGGCCATAGTTTTTGTTTCTTCAGTTTCTTCTGGGATATCTTTTTCTTTCATGTAACTTCCTCTTCT